TCTCTGAGTGTGGGCAGTCTGCCTCCAGGAGAGAGCGCCTCCATCAGGCTGGAGTACGTCACTGAGCTGGCTGTGCAGGCTGATGACGGGCTGAGGTTTTGTCTGCCTGCTGTGCTCAACCCTCACTACCAACCTCAGGCCAGTATGTTGATCAGGAACCCTCAGTCTTCAGTTTTAGTGCACATCACACCTGTTTAAACAGTGTTTTATTACACCAGTCACATGCCCATCCTCTTACAAAATGCTTTTTTCTCTACTCTGAGCAAACAGTGTCTGGAAACTTCTGTTATGGGCCATAAACAGTTTTTCAGCTTCCCAAAATGTACAGTGTGACCACAGAACCAGACATGACACTTCTGGTACATAGAACAAAGTAGGTCTCTGCCAAAACTGGTGAGTGCAAACTAGTGATGATGATACTTTGCTACCCTCAATATGATGCTCATTACTTCAGTGTGTAGCAATAAAAATCAAGTTTGTGGTCATTTTTCTGCCTTTGCTTTGTGTTTCAGGCACTCTGATGGGTGACCCAGTAGTGATGCTCAGCCTGTACCCTGAGTTCCCTCAGGCTGTGATGTCTTCAGTCATTTCGTGTGAAGAGTTTGTGTTTTTACTGGATCGATCTGGGAGCATGGATTGTTGTACCAACAACAGCAAGCCGCAAGAAACTCGCATTCGTAGTGCCAGGGTATTCAGCTAGTGTTAACTTCATCCTAAAGTCACTGATATTGTCCCTCTCACACAAAAATCTTCACTCTCATTTTTCTCTTAATGTTACGTCCATGGCCCAGGCCACCCCCAGCAACTCCAGCACCTCATTAGCTGGCAGAGGTAGTCCCGGCAGCTCCACCCCCACACAGGTGGGAGCGTGTTCCAGGTGGCAAGGCACACTTGCTCTCAATTATCAGAGCAGTATTTAAGGCGAGCGTTGGTGTGTCCTCATCGCCAGATGATCTCCTGTAACCCTGCTGGTGGCGTTGCCTTAGATTCATGTCTAGAGCCTAAGTGGATGAGCTGCTTCCCTGTTTTTGAGGCTGACCTTATATTGTGGAACTATACTTTCTACTTTTGAATATTTTTGCGTCGTTGTTTTTTGAAGGGTTGCTTTGTGTTTGGAACTGTGTTCACCTCTATCGGGTTGGCTTCGGCCGTTTTTGTTTTTTCTTTCCTCACTGCCAAATGGGGCCGGGACTCTAGGCAGAGCTCCTCAGTGCAAGGAGGCCTGCTCTTGCTGTGGTTCTGGATCTCTACTGTTACCTTCGTCTCATCATCCTACTGACTGCTCTGTTGTGGTTCAGCTTACCGGACCAGCGATCTCCTGCCCAGAGCCGGCACACTCAGCTAATCAGGTCCACAGTAATACAACTACAGTAGAATTAGCTCTTACTTCAGCGTATCTGTCATTTTCTCTTATGCTTTCCTCCCATGCTCTCATTTAGCAAGCTGCACCTCGCCTCCTGTCCCGGGTTGCATCTCCAGCAGTCCAGTCCCGCCAGCGATCCCAGCTGCCCCGCGACCGGCTGAAGAGACCAGCTTGGTCAACTTCCCCTCTATACATTCATTAAAATATACATGCACTTTATATAGCCTGAGTCCGAGTCCTGCATGTTTCTGAGTCCGATCCCGCACTACCAACGGTGAGCCGTACACTTAACTTCAGGATATCTACTGCTCCTG